ACTTTCTTCATGTATGATGAGCTTGAGGTCATCCCACAACTCTTCTGAGTTGTCCAGTGTCCAGAGTATCAAATCTCTTCTTGAGATGGTCTCTAAACTCAGGTGGGATATACTTAAGGTCATATGTTGCCCTCACGGACTTGTTCTAATTTTCTTCAGCTTCAGCCCGAATTTGACCCCTTGCCTTGCTTTGGCTGATAATATTGAGCTTCTCCAATGTCTCTTTCCACAGATGTAGTCAAAGGCGTTAGCCTGTGTATTGCATCTGGTGAGGTCCACATGTATAGTTTCCATTTATGTTGTTGAAAAAAAGGCACTTATAATGAATAAGTTATTGGTTTTGCAAAGTTCTATCATGCAATGTCTAGCATTGGTTCTGTATTTCCATGGCTTTGTGATAGAAACTGATCTTTCCTCTTTGTTTCCTACTTTCACATTCCAATTACCAGTAATTATCAAAGCATCTTGATTGCATGTTTAATCAATTTCAGGTTGAAGAAGTTAGTAGAATTCTCCAATGTCATAATCATTGTCTCCTGTGTTCAGTGCATAAATCTGAATAATAGTTGTATCAAGTGGTCTTGCAGGCATATGGATATTTATACTATCACAGATAGCACTGTGTTTCAAGATAAATCTTGAAATGCTCTTTTTGATGATGAATGTGATGCCATTTCTCTTCTATTTGTCATTTTCAGCTTAGTAAACCATATGATTGTAAAAATATATGATTGTCCATCCAACTAAAAATGGTCAAGAGAACTGTCCATTCTCGCCCCAAAGTATCAGTCTTTATGCATTCCATTTCATTTTTGACAATTTCCCATTTTCTTAATTCATACTTTTTACAGTCCATGTTCCGATTATTTATAGATGTTTGTGACCCACCAGAAAATGAAGGTCTCAAAAGCTTTGCTCCATTCACACATATCATTAAGGATGGAGGAGGCAAATCTTCCACATATTTTTAGTATCTTCAACCTGAGGGGCTCATCTTCCAGAACTTTGTCAGACATTGTTCTGCTGCTATTCATCACTTGTTCAGTGTCTAACCTTTCAGAAGTGGTCTCTCTTAGTCTGGAAGCTCTGCTGACATGTGTCCAACTTGCTGGTGTTTAAAATACTGGTCATAGTTTTTAGCATCACAGCAACAGACTAGCCTTACAGTACCACAAACTTTCATATGAGTGCTGGCCACTGTGCATATGTGTTTACCCATTCATCTGTTGATGGACACTCAGGTTGCTTTCAGCTTTTTGCTAACATGAATGATGCTTCAATGAACATGGGTTTGCAATTGACTGAAGAAATTTGTCTACAGCCATCTACTGATCACAGATATGTGTTTAAACACATTACGAAATGGAAACTAATAGCATTACTTTTTAATTTACTTTCATATAGTATGCCTTTTGAAACCATCCTATAGTTTTGTTTTTGGATGTTCTGGGTGTTTTTTATATGTTTGTCTTTTTGAATTTCAGTTTGTGAAATTTTTATTGGTCTATTTTCAAGCTCACTGATCCTTTCCTAGGCCACGTCAAGTCTACTGATGAACCCATAGAAGATATTCTTCACTTCTGTCAAAGCGTTTTTGATTTCTAGAATTTTCTTTTCTCTTCCCCCTAGAGTTTTCATCTGCTTAAGTTATTAACTTGCACTCGAATGTTGTCTACTTCTCCATTAGAGTCTTTACAATCTATCATAGTTATTTTACATTCCCGGTCTGATCATTTCAAACATCTGTGTCATATGTGAGTTTGGTTCTGATGATTGTTCTTTGTCTCCAGAGTCTATTTCTTCTTGTCTTTTGGCATGTCTTGTAATTTTTTTGTAAAAGGCAATAGGCCTTTAGTGTGAGGATTTATGTTAATCTGTTTAGGAGTCAGGCTGTACTTAATGCTTGTTGTAGCGACTCCAAATTCTTCTAGTGTCTTTGTTTTTATCTCCCCTCTTGCCTTTGGGTTTCTCCTTTCAGCTATGTAGTTGTTGTTAAGTGCTGTTGAGTCAGATCCGACCCATAGCGGCCCTATATAGGGTTTCTGAGGAGCAGCTGGTGAGCTTGAACTGCCAACCTTGCAGTTCCAACCAACTTTGGAGTGCAGTGCATTAACCCACAGTGCCATACCAGGACTCCCCTTCAGCTACAGCCCACAATTTTACTGGAGTCTTGTTGGTCCAGTAGTTTAAGTATGAGAAAGGAGTAAAATTCTATAATCTGATTAAATCGCCGTCTCTTAGAGGGTCTGTGTTCTGTGTCTCAGGGTGTGATTTCTCCAGTAGGAAAGCTGAGTCCTCACTCATTCCTCCTTTTCCTGACTTCAGTGTCCCTGATCCATTTCCTTCAAGCCTTCAGCCCTGCGACTATACCCAGTAGGAAGGTGAGAGGGGGTTTCAGTGGAAGCAATTGTCTTCTCCTCGCTGGGAGAAAACAGGAGAACAGACCTCTGTTGTGGAACAGCCTTTGGAGTACAGCTGTTGTCATTAAGTGCCATCAAGTGGGTTCCAAGTCATAGCAACTAGTACAGGGTTTTCAAGGAGCAGCTGGGGGGTTTGAACTGCTGACCTACGGTGAGTTGCTGTTGTTAAGTGCTGTTGAGTTGGTTTTGACTCATAGCAACCATGTATCAGGTTTCCAAGGAGTGGCTGATCAGTTTGAGCTACTTACCTTGCAGTTAGTAGTCCAGTGTTTATCCTGCTTCGCCACACCAGGACTCCTTCTGGTAAATAGTACAGTGATAATCCCATAGTGCACTCCAGGATGGAATTATTTTTATGAACATTTTGAAGTCCCTGAGTACTCCAGACTAAGGGGCTTCAAAAAGTTCATGGAAAAAAATCCATTACCTTTTCATTCCATTTTCCACAAATGTTTTGATTTAACCAGTACTCTTCTCCTTCCCCTGTCCAAACCACAAGAGGAGTTTTCTCATACCATCACCATGAGAACCTGGTGGGGTTCCTGTAGGTGGCTGTTGCTTTTGTGTGCCATCAAACTGGTTCCAACTCACAGTGACCCTGTATAAAGTTTCCGAGGAGCGGCTGGTGGGTTTGAACCGCCGACCTTGTGCCTCAAACTGAACTTGTTACTATACTGCAGTGCCACACCAGGACCCCAATGAAAACAGGGAGTACCTGTAAGACTGCACACTCTAACACTAGTTCACACTCAGCAATTCATCAGAATTGCCATTTAAAAGTTTCTGTTTATAGCTTCAGTGGATTCTGCTCCAGGTAAGCAGATCTCAAATTTCCATGCACCTGACTCTAGATTTTGGTACGTGCTTTGCTTTACCACCTCACTTCTCTGATGAGTCTATGAAACATCACTGGATTTTCATTTTTCTAACCTCTTCTGGTTGTAAGGACAGAACTGATGACTCCCAAGCTCTTTACGTATTGGAGCTGAAACCTGAAGTTCCTCCACACTGTTTTGCGTAGTTCTCTTGATCAGAACATGTGAGTACTGGAAGGATGCTTTACCGGCAACTATACCCTTCCTAAGATTTCTCTTGGTGATGGGCCGCTGCTGCCACAAACTTCCTCACATTGTTTCAGGACCAAGTATAGGTATAAAGATCGAGACCTGAGCTGGAGATGAGCAGAGCCAGTGTATCTCAGGATTGGCAGAACATATGGTAATCCTGGTGCTGAAGGAAGTTAGCCGCCCCCCCAGGAAGCACATCATGCAGGCCGAGGGACTTGCTGATAAGGATTTTCCTTTGGAATCTGCTGAGCTATAGATGGCTGTCTTCCCATGTCATCGAGAATGGAGCAATGGGCATTTCCACAGGTGGTGAGACAGATGACCCACAAGCCCCAGGACTTCACAGGTGCCCTGACAGGCTTTAAAAAAAGCAGGAATTCACATGGAGTTGAGGAGAGGTACAGTCACGTAATTTAAGAAGCAAAGATTTGTCTTAAGTTTCCTTGGCTATCTCCTCTTTCTCTGTCTCTTTGAGTAGTGTTTTCATAAGATTCCAGCTTTTCTTTAGCCATGAACAGGGCTATCCTATAAAGATCAGATTCTCATTTATCTTGCTTAGAATGTTTGAGATTGTAAAGCAGGGCTTAGTGGACCCTGACTGACAAACAGGACATGTGTAATTTTGATGTTTGTCTTAGTCTCTGAGAGTGTACAATAAAAATGCTTTGTTGATGTTTGTGATGTTTTTGGTACCTTGAAAACCCAGCTGGACACATTTGCTTGGCACTATGTGACAACAAGAGATATAAACAAAGGATTAGCTCCCTGAAAGCCACTCTGCCAAGGAAAAATACCTGCAAACAGGGGGTGAAGGTAATTCTTCCATCTTCTCATAAAATGCTCCTTCCTACACTCTTCACACTGGAACATGGGATGTGATGGTGATGGTTAGTTGGTAAACCCAAAGGCAATAGGGAAAGATGCTACAATGTGAGGCGTGGATATAAGCAATATATGCCCATAAGGGAATTTTCTCCTGTAAGTTAGGTTTGAAGTATTTTATAGCCTGCTCTCTACAATATTGAAGGACATCAGACCCTTAAAGTTTTTTAAAATGTCTTGAGTCATTTAGTTTCTGTCTTTCCCAGGGTTTCTTGAGACCCTAAAGAAATTATTAAGGGTTATTGCAACAGGAGAAAATGAAGGAACTGGGGTGGAGATGTGGGATAAGAGAATATGCACATAAATCGGAGGCTAGGCAAATGTAGAGAATGGATGGCGATGCTTAGAGCAGGCCTGTGTGAGGTCTGGGGAGAACAGTGAGAAGGCAAGCCCAGGTTTAGAGACAGGAAGTGAAAGAATGGGAGAGACATGGGTATTAGGAGAACAATGAATGAGAGAAGAAACACAGGGAAGAGATGTAAAGAGAATCAGGAAGGAGGAGATAGGAGAGAGAAGGAAGAGACACACACAGGCATGCACACCTCTACTGCCATTAGGGATGGCCCGGGCTCACCCAAGTCTTGACTGCAGTGTACAGACAGAGCTATCAGAAATAATAGGAAAATCATACCTTGTTTTGTTTCAGGGCACCTTTCTCTTTCATGTGAGGGCAGTCCTTTCCCGTCACTACAGCTTTGATATCTGCCACTGGCACTGTAATTCCAAAAGAAAATGAAAGTAACTAACTCATGTGAGAACGTCAATGTCAATAAAGAAGCGGGGCTAAACACTGAGTCTGCTATCAAAGTTGCCATCCCCAAAGACTACTGCAAAAAGAGAAAAGAGCTCAAAAAGAGGACTAGAAATGAAAATGTCTTCTAGGAAAAAGCATTTGCTTGGGTGTGGGTCTGGAGAGGGTTGGGAGGTTATGTTCCTAAAAATTTGCTTCACTAAAACAAACCCCTAAAGAAACAAAACAACCAGAGCATTATTAAAGTGATGGCAATCAACGCAGCAGAAGTAGTAACAGTAATCGTCATGGTAGTAACAATATGATGGCCTGAATGTGCCAGGAGCAATGCCAAGTGACTGGTATTTATTGCCATCTCTTGCTGCAGTATCTAAATCTATTTGGTTTCTGGGTTTTGGATAATGAGAGAAGCAGCTCTATCTCAGCATATTTATCCAAACCTAGACAAATCCAGAAATCTCATACTTGAAAATCTTATTTTCTACCATGTAAGTCTCACAATAATTCTGTAAGGTCGATTTAACTATTCCTATTTCATAGACAAGAAACTAAACTCAATTAAGTCGCATGAACATTTTTTTTCTGATAAGGTAGCTGGTGCCTATCTTTGAAATTCTGGAAATAACAGTTTGACAAAATGATGTTATCGCATATCTTACTTGGGATACAGAGGATGATAAGAAAAGATGTGGAAATGATTGTGCATTTTAAATCTTTTTGCTAATTCAACTGAGAGAGGCAGTAGGATGGTTTGGAATCTTAATTTAAAAACTACATAGTTATCTAGTCCCACTCATTTCTTAATTCTTCATTCCAACAAAGATTATGAATTCAGTGGCCCAAGTGAAATGGCTTGGCTTTTTCAGAGGTAGGTTCTAAGGGAGTTTCGATTAATCAGTTCCTTACAAACTTTTAATGAGAATAGATAATTAAGATTTCATAAGTGTAAGTTCACATATTTGACTGGAGAACTGATTTCTGGATGGTATTTATATGGAGATAAAATAGAATGTGTAGAGTATTAGAACAATGCAACAGGAAGACCCCTTAAAAGCTAACATTTTCCAGAGAGCCTAAATTCACTGAAGAACTCTGTTCACATGTGTTGGTACTGCTAGTGCCTGGAGAAGAATGGGGATGCTGTGATGAAATCTTTAGAAAACCTCTGCAGGTTCCCTGCCATGATTTCCCTGCCATGCCTGCTCCTCCATTTTGAAGCCTTTGATTGTACACATTATGGTTGTTCAGAATATCTGATTTGGGCACATGAAAGACTCTACTTCCCACCATCCTTTGCTGTAAGGCTGGGTCATGTGATTACTTCTGGCCAATGAAATGTGAGAGGAGGTGGCATGTCTCTGTTCTAGGCTAAAGTAGTGAACAGCCTGTGTCCTTCAGTCTCCCTCATCCCCTGCTACAGAAATTAAAGCGGCAACATATTCCAGTCGTGAGGTTATGGTTTGGCAAACCATTCATTAGTCCATGTCCCTAAACAACTGCATGGAAGGGTCCTTTGCCAACCCATGTTAGTTATGCAATGTGAGTGAGACATAAACTGTGTTGTGCTAAGTCACGGAGATTTTTGAGTTGCTTGTTCCTGCAGCATACTGTAGCGATGTAGCCAATCCTGACTGGTTTACCTCTTTATCTCAGAACCCTTTCCTGCCTTTCTGTCTGATCCATTTCAGACTGACATCTTATAGGTGATCCCTATGATTCTTGAACCTACCTTAACCCTGAAAACTGACTTAAGTTCTCCTCAAGTCCATTTTCATAATCCAGGATCATTCCTGTTCCCCCTTAATGGCTATATGACAGTTTGTTTACTAATCTGGAAGGAGACACTTAGGGAAATTGGTTTATTTTTTAATAGAAAATCCACCGCTACAGTGACAGTGATGTCATTAGCATGTCAATTTATAGAAACATTTCATGCTTCAGATGGAGCTAGAGTCACAACTGTATTGTTGTGTAATGTATAACATGGCCAATGAACTAGAAAGAGTATCTACATCTATAAATTGTAAGTCACCCGTTGGCTTTGAAACAGAATCTTATGGAATGAGACAAGAGTAATATGTGTGTTTGTTGTGAGACAGTCTTCAGAATCTCTAATAGGAAGGCTTCAGAGGAGAAAGTGCATTTTTCCATTGGGCTTTGTGGCAGTACATATTTTATGTTTTTTATATGCATTGTCCCCTGTCAAGGAGACAAGCTGTAATATCACTCAGAAGGTGACGGTAAAAGAAAAAGTACAGAATACTAAAAATACAGTTTGGCTTTTAAAGGTTGCTCTTTGCATAGTTTCTCTCAAAACACACTGGAGCTTAGTCACGGAAAGGGTGCAAAGCCTTCCTCTGTGTTACCATGAGCAGAATTAGGAGTCTGACTTAATTCAAGTCTCAAACCTCCACTCAAAGGAGGCAGTGAGGCCTCCAGGTGACTTCAAAGCCAGGCTGGTGAGTGGATCAGGCCTTTTAGCGTGGGAGCAAATAAGTTCCCAGGGGCTAGTGAGCTGATGTCAGAAGAGACACTGAAACTTGCTCTCCATCGTAGAGATGCTAAAGCAAATGGAAGAAATGAGGACGTAACAAGAGCTGAACAGTAAATTTCAAAGATCAGCTCGAGAAGGTAAAGCCAAATATTACAACAAAATGTGCAAAGATCTAGAATCAGAAAACCAAAACAGAAGAACATGCTCAGCATTTCTCAAGCTGGGGGAACTGAAGAAAAAATTCAAGCCTAGACTTTCATTATTGAGAGATTCTTCTGGGCAAATTATTGAATGATACAGAAACCATCAAGAGAAGATGGACGGAATACACAGAGTCACTGTACCCAAAAGAAGTGGTTAATGTTCAACCGTTTCAAGACGTAGCATATGGTCAAAAGCCAATGATACTGAAGGAGGAAGTCCAAGGTGCATTGAAGGAATTGGCAAAGAACAAGGCGCAAGGAACTGATAGAATAAAAATTGAAATCTTTCAAGAAAGTGAGGCAGCACAGGAGGCACTCACTCATCTATGCCAAAAAATTTGGAAGACAACTATCTGGCTGACTGATTGGAAGAGAACTGTATTTGTGCCCATTCCAAAGAGAGGTGACTCAATGGAATGCGGAAATCATCGGAAAATCTCTTTGATATCCCATGCGAATAAAGTTTTGCTAAAGGTAATACAGAAACGGCTACAATCATACATTGACAGAGAACTTCCAGAGGTTCAAGCTGGATTCAGAAGAGGCCATGGAATGAGGGATATCATTGCTGATGTCTGATGGATCTTGGCTGAAAGCAGAGAATATCAGAGAGATGTTTATCTGTGCTTTATTGATTATGCAAAGGCTTTCGATTGTGTGGATCATGACAAGCTATGGACAACATTGCTAAGTATGAGTATTCTGGAACACTTAATTGTGCTCATGAGGAATCTGTACATGGACCAAGAGGCAGTTGTTTGAACAGAACATGGGAACACTGCATGGTTTAAAATTAAGAAAGGTGTGCGACAAGGTTGTATTCTTTCACCATACTTATTCAACCTGTATGCTGAACAAATAATCCAAAAAGCTGGGTTTTATGAGGAAAAACGTGGCATCAGGATTGGAGGAAGACTCTTTAACAACCTGCGATATGCAGATGATACAACCTTGCTTGCTGAAAGTGAAGAGGACTTAAAACATTGACTGATGAAGACCAAAGAGCATAGCCACAGTATGGATTGCGTCTCAATGTAAAGAAAACAAAACTCCTCACCACTGGACAAATAAACAACATTCATATCAACTGAGAAAAGACTGAAGTTGTCAAGGACTTCATTCTTCTTGGATCAACTATCAACACTCACAGAGGCAGCAGTCAAGAAATCAGACAACGTATTGCATTAGGCAAATGTGCTGCACAAGATCTTTTTAAGGTGTTGAAGAGCAAAGATGTCAGCTTGAGGACTAAGGTGTGCCTGACCTAAGCCATGGTATTTTCAATAACCTCATATGCATGTGAAAGCTGGACAGTGAATAAGGAAGACCATAGAAGAATTGATACTTTTGAGTTATGGGGTTGGAGGAGAATATTGAAAGTGCCATGGGCTGCCAAAAGAAGCAATAGATCCGTTTTGGAAGAAGTGCAGCCAGAGTGCTCCTTGGAGGCCAAGATGGCCAAACTTCATCTCTCATACTTTGGACATATTGTCAGGAGGGACCAGTCACTGGAGAAGAATATCATGTTTGGTAAGGTAGAGGGTCAGAGAAAAAGAGGAAGACCCCAAAGAGATGAATTGGCCAAGTGGCAACATCGACGGACTAAAGTGTGGCAACAGTAGTGAGGTTGGCCCAGGACTGGGCAGTGTTTCTTTCTGCTGTGCATAAGGTCACTATGGGTCGGTACCGACTCGATGGCACCTAACACCACCACCACCACCAACAGTGAGCTGGGAACCAGGGAGTACCGAGTGAAGCAAGCACCCCTCTCACACCCACACACAGAGCTTCATTCCTTTCTGTGATGTTTTCACTTTGATCTGGATTGAGAAGATCTAATCCAACAATTTGATGTATTTTTTAAATGGGCAGGCTGAGGCCCAAAGAGAGAAAATTAATTATGCAATACCACACAGCTAGGGGGAGGCAGAGTTGGAGCTGGAGGTCCTCCTTCTCCTCCATGTCCCATTGCTGGACAATGACTTCTGCATGCGTTTAGGAGTCAGTACCCCAATTGCGGTTATCACTTCACAGATGTTTGTGAATCTCACTCATCACTAAAATCTGTGGAAGGGGCTTAAATTGTGATTTAAAGTAAAAATTTTATTGAAAATAGTAGCTGGGGTCACTGTGATTCATATAGTCTCAGCTTTCACCACTGGGAACCAAGTTGAGGCAGAACGCATCCCTGGAAAGCAGCAGCTAAAGCCATGAACACTTGCGGTGCACAAACCCACATTAAGAAAATTCCTGTGTCTCCAGAGAA